TTGAGCTTTGCTCGAGCATAATCAGCCCTAGGACAAGAGCCCTGCCTGGAGAGCATGAACTAAATAAATAGTGTGTTCAATAGAAAACATGGAAGAGGGAGAGGCATTTGTTTTAGCCTTTAACCCAAAATCATTTGATTACGAAGTCACAATCAGTTTACTCTCCATGTTATTGAAGGGTTTCATGATAGTTAGATCTAATGAACCTACAATGTCGCGTTCAGAAATCCATGTTAACTTGGACAGAACTAAGAATGCTTTCTTATGTTGTAGACTACCATAAAAAAGGGTTCTTTATATTATCTTTTCCATAGTTATTATTTCTTTAGACAGAGAATTTAGTTTATCCTCACTTCTCGAATGGTAAACATTTTTTAGAGGATGATGTGATTAGTAAGAAGTGCTAAGCGATGTGACATTTAGATATTATTTATTATCACTTTATAAATTTAATTGTCATTTTAAGGTCCCGTTTGTTTATCATTTTTATAATAATAAGAATGAAAAATATAATCGTTATGAGCCTACACAATACATAAAAATTTAAATTTGGTAATTTAATGTGATGAATAATTATCATATATTTCATTTTAATAAGAAAAGAATAAAAAACAAACCGCAACTAAAGATTAAATTCAAAATGACAAATCAATTGATGAAATTGACACCACCGCTTACCGGTAAAGATACAAGCAAATAAAGGGAAGTTCATTCGCAGTGTACATATAGCTCTCATTTCCTGATCTATTGAAGCACATTCCACGATTTACCTCAATTATAAAATTCTAAGGGCAGGGTAGGGTGGGGCCAAGAAAGAATTGGAGACAAAAAGGAGAGGGAGAAGGATATTTGGGTATGGGTATGGAGATGGTAATCGGGTTGGGCAGGGCTTTGGTGGTCGTTTTGGTTGTTGGTCATGGTCGTGGGAGGAATTAGTGGCCAACAGCCGGTTGACCCGGCCAGTTTTCCAAAGAGGCCTTTGATCAATTAAAAAAAAAAAAAAAGCAAAATGTTTAAAATATTAAAATCAAGAGAAATCCAAATTTACCCTTACTATTTAAAGAAGAAAGAGAACTCGTAAGGAAATAGAAAAATTACTGTAGCACTGATAAAAAAGGAAAAATAGACGACCCATATTTAAAGTTTTTATGTTGATTTTTGGAAAAAAAAACATGATTTTATATACATGTGTTGATTTTTGGAAAAATGCATGATTTTTGGGTAAGGATAATAGTTTGGGAGGAAGAAAATGGAGTAGAGATCGTCGAAAATGGAGTTTTCCGGCGATCTCCACAAAGGAGACGTAAGCCCAGCCGACTGGACCGTTTAGGCATGCCCAGACGACCCAGACTCACCCAGACGGCCCAGTCGACTGGGCCGTCTGGGCCGTCTGGGCGCCCAGTCGACTGGGCCGCCTGGGCGCCCAGTTGACTGGGCTTCCTGGCGCCCAGACGGCCCAGTCATCTGGGCCGACCGTCAGAGGCCCAGATTTTTTTTTTAAATTGCTTATTTATTTATTTCCTTTAATTTTTTAAGTTAACTATTTATTTTAATTACTTATATTGTGTTGTCTAATATTTAATTATTATTTGAATTGTTTAATTTTAATGTATATTATGTATTTAAAATTATTTCTTTGAAATGCTTAATATAAATGTTTTATTATTTATCTAAATATTTATTATTTTCCAATTTAGTTTTAATTACTTATTTTATGTTAAGTAATAGTAAAATAAATTAAAAGAAATAATTAAATATTAAATAAGTAATATACATAAAGAACTTAAATAAATATTTAAACATCTGTAAAACAATAAATAAGCAATTAAATTAGAAAATTAAAATATCAATCAAATTAAATTTCTGCAAATCAATTAAAATAAATTTGTAAATATTAAATAAGCAATATGCATAAAGAATTAAAAAAAAGTATTTAAACATTAATTAAAAATAAATAATTAAATTAAGTGTTAGTAAAATAATTAAAATAAGCAATGAAAATATTAAAATAAATGATGAAAATAAGTGTTAGTCAAAAAATTAAATGAAATAATTAAATATTAAATAAGTAAAATACATAAAGAATTTAAATAAATATTTAAACATTCGTAAAATAATAAAAATAAGCAATTAAATTAGAAAATTAAAATATC